CACTCATCATTTTCTGTCTGTTGGCAGTGCTCTGGCTTGGGTGCTTCGTTCTGTTATATGCTGTCATATCTGGTGGGCAGACCAGTGGTCTACAGATATCTCACAGAGCGAGCACAGAAATGGTCTCAGCAGGTAAGAGCTTTGACAGGAAAGAACTTTTTTTTGTTTGTTTTATTTTGGGTTTTTTTGTTCTTTTCATATATTTATGCATTTTCTTTGTGCTTTGCTTTAGTTGTACTGGTTTTGAATTGCATTTAAAGACCCACAAATATATTGCCAAATAACAACAACAACATTTACCTCAAGATGCTTTATACTATAATGTAAAGACCCTACAATAATATAGAGGAAGCCCCAAAAAATCAAACGACCCCCTTTAAGCATGCACCTGGCAACCATGGGAAGGAAAAACTCCCTTTTAACAGGAAGAGACCTCAGGAAGAACCACGCTCAGGGAGGGGTGGACATTTTTCACAATCGGTTTGAGGGGAGGGGAGGAAGACGGTACAAACGACCTGCTGTGGAAAAGGACCAGAGATTAATAATAACTAATGATCAAAGTGGTTTGTAAGCTTGTAATGAGTGAAGAAGTACTTTATGGAAAGCCCCCAGCAGCCTAGGCTATGCGCTTTAGCAAAAAGGAAAGTTTTAAGCCTAATCTTAAAAATAAATAAATGAATTTTTATTTATATAGCACCTTTCAAGACAGAATCACAAAGTGCTGCACATAAGATTACAAGTCATAAAAAGATTTAAAAAGAGAAAATAAAACAGGCAAAAAATTAACCAAAAGCAGTTTTAAAAAGGTAAGTTTTGAGTTGTTTTTTAAAAACAGCTACTGAGTCCGCAGTTATGGGGGAGAGAGTAAATAAAAATAAAGAATTCAAACTGGTAGCTGTTTCCGCAGAAGAGGGGTGTGAAAACTAAAGACTGCCTCCTGCTTTTAAATACCCTACGAACCACAAGGAAGCATGCAGTGTGAGAGTGAAGTGCTCTATTGGAGTGATATGGTACTATGAGGTCTTTAAGATAAGATTGGACTGAATTAGTCAAGACTTTGTATGCGAAGAGATGGGTTTTAAATTTGATTTCTCTCTCTATCGTGCTATACATGTTTTAATAATTGCTTAATGAGATGAGCTTTAATATCCCCAGTATTACCCAGTATTCCACAGCACAGCAGTCTTCCAACATGATTTTAATAAAAGCTGATCATTCATTTATTGTTTGTAATTTCAGAAATATTCTGCTCATGATTTTTCTTATATTTTATTTTAATGGCAGGTTGACAAACATAGAAATCATTTAATCAATTACATCATCTTCCTGAGGATAACCCCCTTTCTACCCAACTGGTTCATCAACATCACCTCACCTGTCATCAATGTGCCTTTGGGGGTTTTCTTCATCGGTACCTTTCTTGGTAAGACTGTTTTTCTCTCTACTGCTGGATCCATTTCGGTAATGTTTTCCACCAATGACTAACCTTCATTCCACACTGATCAACAGGAGTGGCTCCACCATCCTTTGTAGCAATCAACGCAGGTACAACACTGTACAAACTCACCACGGCGGGCGAAGCCGTCTCCTGGAACTCCCTAGCTGTGCTCGGTGTACTAGCCGTGCTCTCGATTTTACCCGTCTGCTTCCAGAAGAAGCTGCAGCAGAAACTAGAGTAGAGCCCGTCACCTCACCTCAGCAACTCATCTGCTGGCTGATCCCAACATCTCCCTTACCTTGCCTCAGGAACATGCAGCGGTCACTGAAGCTGCTCCGCATCCGTCTCGTAGGCGGTGGAGGAATTGCCAAGCACTCATCAACCACAAAAATGCATGCAGTGGTGGGTTGTTCCTGATGTCAAGTAAAGTACAAACAGTCCACTGCTTGCACAAGTTGTTTTTGGTTTCTGTGACTCATGGTATAAATATTAGAAACTGTTTTTTTTTGTTGTTTTTATTTAATGCACTGCTTGTTATATAATTGTATGATCATCTTCAGACAATAAAAGGTGCCGCTTGCAGGATGCTTTCCTAAAGTGCAGGTCACAGTTGTTCCACATGGCCTTTTTTCATGGGGAATAACGTGCCTGTGTTGTCTTTTTAGGAACTCTGTCATCGAACAGTGCAATCAGCATCTTGTTCAGATTATTCTGGACATTTTATTTCTAAATACTCAACAAACAGGCACTTGGACAACAACAGAAGAGTTGCTACATCCTGTTAGTAGCACCTTTAACACCCACTCCCGTTTTAATATTTATTTCTTCTGCATTTGTCTACTTAATAGAATCTGATTAGCACTATAGCAATAATTTTCGCACTACTTCTCAAAGGGGATTTTAGTCTTTTCAAAGTGCATTTTGACACAGGGTCCGTGCTCTGGCGACTATATGCAGAGTTTGGGCATACATTAATATGTAGAGAAAAGGAAACACGTAAGCACTGATCTTCGGAAGTTTGTGTTTTGTTGACATGTGAGTAATTCAGTGATCTTCCTAAAAGTGTGCCTGCATCTTCTGCCAGACAACTTCCCTTTTTCTTTCATCCATGTTTCCATATTATAATCTACTTTGCTACTGAATGCTTGAAAGTATTTAAAGTACAGACTAGGCCAATATAATATTTTTTTCACAGGACATCCAAACTGCAGGGTGTCAAACTCAGCATCTCTAGCTGGTATTTTTATTTAAACAGTAAATGTAGATCTCGCTGGTGCACTGAACAGTTCTTGAAAGTCAACACAGTTGTCTTGGTTTGTAAATTTTAAAAGTCAAAGGCTGAGATTGCCTTTTTTTTTTTTTTTTTTGTACTGTGATCATCTGCGTTCATCTCCACCCTACGATATCTAACTAGTGATTTTTAAATTTTGGATGATCGACCATTGAGCTCAATAAGACTGCCAACAGACTGTGCAGTGTCTGAGCCTTGCCTTGCTTTTACTGCTTCCTTTTCTTCACCTTGGGAAATGTGCTGTGTTGCCTGATTTATGTTGCTAGATTGTGTTCTTTAAAGTGTTTTGAATGGCTGTTTATGTCCTGTTATATAAAAAAACAAAAAAACAAAAAGCTTATAGATTATATTTCCCTCTAAGTTTGTTGCCTGTGTACCAAGGTAACTCATTGCTCCTGCTGCTAAAAACCTTCTGGACAGTTAACAGACGCAGTGAATGTACATGTAGGTAACAAATCTTAACCTAGATCTCTTAAAAATGCACATTTAGAGTTGTGCATCAGGAGATTTCATGTTTTTGCTTATGTCTTAATGGACATTGTATCTACTGTACTACTGTATGAATATTAAACTCTCAAACCCAGATTATAAAAGACTGCATAAACATTAATTGATGTAAAAGGAGGAAACAGCGCTACAGTAGTTAAATGGTTTTTTGGTTACCGTTTTTTGAAACATCTGCAATGGATAAAGAACCTTCGTTAAGTAAAGTAGCAAAATGCTGTGAAATGATTCCTGTTGCAGCTATGAGTAACCTCTTATTCCCCTGTAATGCTAAATATGCCAACAAATGATAGTTGGTAACTTTTTCTAAAATATTTAAACCTTACACCTAATTTCAACTTAACCTACTATACCAACTGGTTAATCCCCCCCCCCATCGTCTTACCCAATCAGTGACAATGTGTGATACTTCTTCTGTATCCCTCTGCAACATTTCAAAAAGCAGTATTATTCTGTACTGTGCAGTGATGTATTGCAGTATGAAGTGTTTACAGATTTCAAATTTCTGTTCTGTTTTTTTTTAAATATGTATTTATTGAGTCATTAAAATCTTTACACAATATGAGTTCTGAACATAGTCTGTACAGTGCACATATTTAATAATACTGAAATATACAACAAAGAAAGCAGTCGTTAGTTATTTAGTGCCACCAGGTGGTGACATTGTAACATAACTGTAAAGCAGCACGCCCTGTTTGGTTAAAATAACCTATTAAGTGTAATCTAGTTTTGCATGTGTAGCAGCGGTAATGTTTTTAACATATAACAGATAGAAACGTTTAACTTTGATTTAACAATTAACAAAAACATGACATAAGTGTCATAACACTTAGAGGAATGACAACGCACTGATGTTCTTTATTAAATCAATTAAATCAACTTACATTTTGTTTAGTTACTTGTATCAGCATCCACTGTTGCAGTACAGTTCATTGTAATGTTACTCTACAAATATTTTCGCACCCTGACATATTCACACAATACTCATACGGACTTCTTTCACTAATGTACTCAACAAATTAAAATCATAGAATATTAGAAGACCACACTTTGATGCTTCCATGAAAAAGTACAACTAATCCATTGCTTTTTACGATACATGAGTACACTTTGGCTCTTGAGCAGTACACCTAAAATCTCTGGTAGATGAAAGCTCAGAAACCACAACCTTGGCGTAGCACATTTATGCAGCTGGTTCAGATGATGGATACATAACTTTAATTCTTTCAGTTTTTCTGGGAGGCAATGCCAGATATCTTTCCTTGCCCAAGGGCACTACCTTTGAGCGTCTCTGGGTTCATAAATAAATTATTAAATGAATAAATTGCTCTAAATGAATACCGTAACTGAATTTCAATTGTGTCAATTGAAATATTATTAATATTAAATTATGACAGAATTTTTAGACTTAAACCATCGCTCGTTCATGATTATATGTCTAGGTATGAATATTATCCATGCGCCAAGGTGATGATTTAGTATCAATTTTGATCACTGTAAGTAACTTAAGTGTGGCTGACTGGAAATCTTATTATTCTTAAAAAAATACTACTAGGGTTATAGTTGTTTTCTACTATAGACTTATATAATCATAATCAATATGATTAGCATATTTAAAATATGCTGTTATATTTTTTTCTCATATAAAATTTTAAATTTATATATATTTATTTATTTATTCTTGGCTTTTATTCTGAAGGCCAATTTCCCCCTGTATGAAGGTTTATTGTGAAGGCGCTCGAAAGGATGTCCCTTGCTGCGAGCTGATCAGGTTAGCTCAGTGTCGGTAGTGATTTTCGAGCTTCGCAGCAGCGTATCGTCGGTAATGGCACGGAGAAATCACTTCTCCGAGTTCCTTTAATATGCTCCCTGTTTTAGGGATAAGGGTACCACCGGACCAGTCTCAAAATGACCACCGGCTTCAGCTCCGGTTCCTGCCGGTTCGCAGATTATTTTGTGATCTGCGGACTCGACACCGAAAGCGGGCTGGAACCCGACGAACTGTCCGGTAAGCACATTAGCCATCTGGGTAAATGTCGGGCTGATGCTGGGGCAAAAAAAAAATAAAAATAAGAAGAAGAAGAGAGGAATGAACGGGTATCATAACAAAGAGTCGGCGTTGATAATGAGACTGTAATGCTTTTTTTGTGCATGTCATCTATGAATTCGGTTAATGTATGTTTTCAGGGTAAATACAGAGCGAACCTAACGCCAGGCCTAGCTCATCTTCTCCCAGCCTGTTTGTTTGTAATGCTCGATGAGGAGCGAAGGGGATTACTGGCTGGTTATGCCTCGTTTAAAGCGCTGACATGCATTTAAATTCAAAGGCTGTCGACAGAGTCCTTGCTGCATTTCACACTCCGGGTGTATTCGTGTGAATTGATGCTGACGCTACGCAGCATACACATTTTACACAAGGAAACGCTTTGCCTACAGTGAAATCAGGCTTGGTGTTGTTGTAACACTGATGCCAGTGTAATCTAATTGCATGTGACGAGGCTGTCCTACTGTCTCGTGGCTTTCACTAGAGGAGACCAGGTACTCAGGTAACGACACAAAAGGTTACCGGTCAGATCCCACCTCTGACATTCTCATCATCTACCAGAGACCCTCGCTGAACGTGTAACCATCCTCTTCCTCCTCTTGTAGCACACCCAGCTCTTTACAGACTATTACATAAATAGCTTAAAGATCTAATAAGAGGACAGCATGTAGTTACACACCTTGATACTGCTTTGCTTAGAGACTGAGGTCCTTTTCTTTGTTATGAGTTTACCTGCATGAGCATGGCTTGTGGATGAAATAGAGCTTTTTGTGAATATATGTGCATGTGAAACTGTGGATGAAGAGTTCTTCGAAAGCCAGGGCTCTGATACAATCTGTGGACGATGACAGCATGGCCACAGTGCTATTTTTATTTTATTTTTTTAAAATTCTGAGATATCTATCATTTTTCTCTCTCTTGCGGTAATATTGTCAGGGGTTTCCAGAGCACCTGCCTCTACTGAAGGGAAAACCCCTGAATGCTGAAAGAAAAATGCCAGTCCAGTCAGCTCACATGATGTCTTTTAACACGATATTTACATTCTTGAGCTGTAACGTCACCTAGCTGTAAGCTGAATGAGAGTGATCAAGTTGAGGGGTGTAGGCTTCTTCTAACTTGAGGCACTATTCCAATTAGTGAAGCCATTTTTAAACCTGATTTTTAGTCTTTAGTTGCACTTGTCTTTTTTCAACTTGACCTTTCAGTCCAGTGATTAAAAGGGATCAGTTTCAGTGAAGAGTTGATTTTTCATCTCTTTTTGTTATTTATTTTCTCTCCCGTATCTGTGTGATTTATTATGACTCAGCAGGTAGTGAGAGCCCCGCAGAGTTGCTGTTGTGGTTGAAAGAAGCGTCTGTTCTTCTCAGATGAATAACCTAACCAAAAATCCTTTTAGTTTTCAGAGCCTCAGCACCTCCAACTTCCTATTTTCACTTCCTTAAATTAAGTTCCTTTTTGCGTCTTTAGCACAAAATTCACTTTGAATTGGCAAAATAAAATTAGATACGTGCCCTGTTTTGCATTTTAACTGAACCCAACCATGCGCCAAGCACGAGTTGTCTGAAGCGTCCATACTAATGTGGCGATTTGGCCTCCCATCGATACAATAAAGCTACATTTTACAGTTCCGATTTAGAGCTTTTCAAAACGTGCAACAAAGCAAACACTGTGAAAATGACAGCCATGTATTAGTGGGGATATTGCTGTGCTGTGTGATTGATTTCCATTCTTCAAACTGTGGTTTGGTACCATTGTGTAGCAGCAAAGCTACGAATTAAGAAGGCCCTATTGTGTAATTGACAGCTGTGTTGTTCTTCACTCAATGCTCAAGACACTAAAATTACCCAGAGTGGGTAACAGCTCATTTTGGACACAAGCGGAAAGACACAGATGAATATATAATTTGCAGGTTGGGTTTGCATATTTTTAAATCACCTGCATATTGCGCCTGCATACTTAATGCTTCTGCGTGCGTGATGAGGTTTCTCTTAAGGCCTTCTGACTAGACTGAAACTTTGCTTCGACATGCAAACCGGGACTCTGAGGTCAAACTTCACTGATGTTGTTCTACTTACTGCATCTTGCTGCTGTTTACTGTAGAACGAGGTTAGGGGCTTGCCCTTATCAGCTGTTTCAGTCTGAGTTGAAAAGAGGAAATGGTGTGGAAATTCCATTGTTATGGCTTATGTATGATCATGTCAGCTAAACATGTGCTACAGGTATACCTGGGGGTTTACAGTTTTGGTTAGTATATATTATATAAAAAGATGGCAAAAAGAGTTTTGGCTTTAACCTAAGGAGATCTGGCCATCTGAAAAAGACGAAAGAAATCATGGATTAAGAGGAAGAAGATGAAGTAGTCACAACTTTAAATAAATAACCTTAAAAATTTGAATGTAACGACACAGCTGTATGTCACAGACCTTAAAAGACCTCAAAAGGTGATATCCGAAATGAGTATATGTTGACATTATGAACAAGAAAACTGCACATATTTAGATTTGAGAAACATTTTAAATGACTTGAAGGCATCTTACAAGAAAAGATTTAAATGAAACGCTGCACGCCGGTTCCTCTTTCTCAGTATGATCCAGTGGTGATTCACGTACAGTCAATCCACAAAGAATGACCGAAACTTTCTTACAGTGTGGTGTTTGGCAGCTTAGGGAGGACCTGATTAGCATATGTATGACCCTGCAGCTTCACAGGCCACGCTGGAAGCACAGGGAGCTGAAGGATATAAGTACACATGCAGACAGGCTCCACCTATTCAAATGCTAAACATCTCTTTTGAATTTCCCAGGCAGCCTCTCTCTCACTCTCTCCCTCTCTGTGCCCGAATCCGACTCGGCAAACAAATGAGGTTGAATGGCTCAACATGAAAGCTGAAAGCTTTAAATGCAAAATGTCGTCTTTCATATTTTCACTCAGAGCTGTGTATTTCTGGACCTGGCCGGTATTTTAAAATATCCCTTTGAAAATGCATCAGTGAAGCTTTTGATGCAGTTTGAAGAGTTATTAGAAACCTCGCGATCCTCCAGGGCAAAGTGTACAGCTAAAATTATATGGCGCTCAATATAGGGGACCTCATACAAGAACTGGCTGTATAAGCTGGCGATGCTGTGCCAAGTGATTGATCCTATTATTAATAACACCTCAGTTTTTGTTTTAATATATCAAGCAGGAGGAAAGCGCTACTTTTTGCCCGCAGGACTGAAAATTTGAAATGAGTTGTCTCAACCTCACTGTTGGAGATATCAAACTGTTCTGGTAAAAAAATAAAAGGCTGTAAGTAGAAGTTTGTAGGCAAATGCTTTGAGGTTAACCGCATATATCCCCCCCGCTGTGCATATTGGCGTGTAGCATGCAGTTACGGAGCTTTGAGGTCTGTGCACTGCTACCAATGGGCTGAACTACTGGAGCTACAAGAACATTCACAGCATCTGCAACTTGATGGTGCAAAGCTGAAGAGACCCAAGTTTCTTTGTTTTTTTTTGTTTTTTTAAAATATTAAATTACATTTACAGTCTCTTTAAAATAGAATTTCAAATGGAAACGCCAAAAGTGGAAGCCTACTCCCCACTGATCATAATATCAAAGATTTTATTTTCACATTTATCTTGATTTAAAATAGCAAATATTTTATCCTTGTGCACAACTGTGGAATGGCTTTTAAACTCCACTTGCTGAATGATGAAGGTTTACATTCTTCCCAGTCATGGCAGAGTAATTAAACCTGCACATTCTTGTGTAAAAGGTTGTTTTTCCACCAGGTCAAATTTCTCCGCAGTTCAATCCCCTGGCTGCTAGCAGATGTGTGCTGAAATTTCAGGCTGCTGCGGTGTTAGACCAGGTTTTATGGCCCTACGGCATCTTCTCGCCACTCTGTAGCTAAGCTGCTGATATTAGCCTGTCTGGTATTTGTAGGTTATGTGCCATATTTCAGCTTCATTATCAAAGGTGAACTAATTTTGACCATTTAATCTGTCAGAGACAGTTTTCCTGAGGGAAGAGGGAATGAATACTACCTAGCAGTTACATTGTAGCTAATAACACTATTACTGGCGACTGTACAAGAGTGTAACAATGTTGAGTGGTGAGTGATGGTGGTTTTACTGCAGTGTTCAACATGTGGGAGTTAAAATTCAGTGGTTATTGAATTTCAGCTTAACTACCTTAAAGACGGAGCCACTGTGATAAGCTCTCCTTTGTATGACAAGTTGAAAACTTTACTATGGAAAAAAAATGAAGCCTGTCCTGGTATAATAATATATCCAGGGAAGATATTTTTATTGATGTTGGTGTAGATATTATATTAAAAGTTTTGACAGTCTGACATTACGGTTCGAGACATCTTTCTACAATAAATAAAGACGACTGCTGCTGTCATAGTGCCTCTGGGTCAGTGAAGGCAGCTCGTCTGGTTTCCGAAAAGAACATCTAGTTGTAAAATCACCACAGAGGGTGTTGTGTCTGCTGGTTTCTTCCCTTACTCAACACAGCCATTTACAAGTATAGATGTTACAAAAGATGGAAAGTGCTAGAGCTACAGTAACCAATGGGTGATATAACAATAGGGGTTACCATCTTTTATATACAGTCTGCGAACTGACCATAGTTTAATGTGATCAGATGATGTGTTGACAGTTAAAAGAACTTGTCTTTTATTTATGCGGTCAGCTTGTCTTTTTTTTTGTATGTTGTACTACTGTGTAATGATAGTGTTTTTATTAAAAGGTCAATTACTGTTATGGGAATTTCTTGACATCTCTACATTTTTCTTAACCTAAAACACTAGCATAGGGGGATTTTTTACCTATGCGATGACTAAAGATCACTTAATGGTAATTTCCACTGGTCAAAAAGTTTTATAGTCAAGTTCCCAGTTCTGTTATTTATTTATTTTTTGTTGGATTTTTTTCATTAATAAGTCCCTAACCTTTCATTAATTTTAGACCCTTTTTATAGGGTTGTATGAGATGTGAATAGGGTACCTTAATGTATTTTAATGGGGACAATCTTTTTTTCGGGTAAAATATATGCAACGTTAGTGATAGTGTTACAAAACTGCAAACTAGTGTTCCAGAGTTAAACACTTTCTTACCTCCAGACTAACTAAGAAACACCGTGCTGGTGTTTTTGGCTAATAGCTTTTAAGTCATGTTAACAATTAAATTGAATGCGATAAGACAGCAACTTTGGTGTCGGCTTAGAAATCATCCCACATTGTAACAAGTGGGGGAAAAATCGAACTTATGCTTTTGTTAAACTCACAGAAAGCACACAGGGGACCATGAGCTGTGATGGCGGGGAGTTTAGGCTGTGAGTGAGCTATCATGTTCTGCCAGTGCCGGGCCCGCTAGGTGAATGAGTGTCGACGTTATTGCTGCTGAGCTGTTTTGACGTGTCAGCAGTCTGTACAACACTTTGTGCTGCAGGGAGTTTAGTCTTGTGTGAATATAGCTTTACAGTCAGGGAGGTGCATCCCTTTATGTCTAGCCTAGTGAACCGTGCCATAGTAGGAGTGTGTGTGTGTTCGTGATCACAGGAGGGATGCAGAGCTGTGGGTGGTCCCTGGCTCGCAGGATGAGGAGCTCAGTGACGCTCTACTCCCACTGCTACCGGTCCACACTCTATTACATCACAGTCCATTAGCTGGAGAATATGACAAAGGAAGATGATGTTTACACTGTAGCGTCTGTTGGTGTTTATGTTAACAAATGGCTTCTCCAGGTGAGGCAGTTGGCTTGTAATTAGTTTTAATTATAAAGATGAAGCTGAAGTGAACACCTGTCTCAGGCAGCTTCACTTAAGCCTCATGATGTAACACAACAGCCACATCATCCTATGTGGACAGCAGTGGAAAATGCAAATCTGGGAATGATATTTTTAGTTTTTGATAAAGCTCAAATTTAATATTGTGAAACTGTGGCTGTTTCCAGCAATAGCATTCAATTATGGCTGTTGTATTTACATAAATGGAGATTTTTCTAGAATTGTAAGCTTTGTAAATTTGCCATAGACTCTTTGTTTGCACTGTGACATCTAGGTCATGACAAGTGATGAGCTCAACCCTCACCCAGAGTTTTGGAGAAAAGCAACAAACTTGGATTGACTTGAATTTGGGAAAACAATTAAAAATGTACATGTTCTGAGAGCATATAGTCAAGGGGCATCCACACAGGAAACGACTAGCAGTGATGTGCCAACCAAAGACAACAGGAAGTCAGTGACGTTCTACGACTTCAAGTGAAAGTGAAGGGAAATGGGTGGGACCTAGGGATGGGTATCGAAAACCGGTTCTTGTTGAGAACCGGTTCCCACTGTTTCAATTCCTTGGAATTGTTTGCCATTTTTGCAAACGATTCCCTTATCGATTCCAGTCGCCCCGAATGACGTCACCACGTTGCGGAGCGTCATTTACCTGGCAGGAAACATGGCGGCTCAAACGCTAAAAAGTTTGGTTATACTTTACGGGAACGGATGACAACAGGGCAACTTGCAATACTTGCAAAGTAGATATATCATTTAAGGGAGGAAACACTACGAATATGCAAAAGCATTTGCTCACAAAAC